TAGGCAGAAGCACCGACCCAGTGTTTACAAAGCGAACGTGCAAAGAAAGTCCAAAGCCCTTTACAAAAAAAGGTAAAACAACGATGTCGGACGATTTTGAAGTTGGAGGAGAAAATGAGATGACCTTTCCAACGTGATTACGTAATGCCTGAATTTGTGGACGCGCATCGCAGAGCTAGCGCAAGAGGTGCATTTGTGGTTAAAAAGTATATACATTAAAAAAAATTATTATAATTTTTTTTTTAGAAAATTACCGATCGCTTCACTAGATAAGACCCTTATTCCTCGGCTGGGATCGTGTCGAGCCCTTTGAAGCTGCACTGAAACTGCAATTTGGACCTTCAACCCATTGAGCACCATTGAAGTCCATTATATGGAGAACAATCCTGGAATGTTTTCCTCAAAAACCTTCATTTCTTTGCGACTGAAGACAGAAAAACATGAACATCTTGGATGACATGGGGGTGAGTAAATTATCAGGACATTTTTATTCTGGAAGTGAACTAATCCTTTAATCGGACAGAATTGATACTTGGGGTTAGAAGTTTGTTCAAAGCCATGTAAGTTAGAAGTGGCCTTTAAACTTTGACTGAAAAAGACTGAAAAAGGAGAGGAAAACAGATCTCGGCACAGCACTGAAATTTTCATGAGTTTGACATGCTGTGCTCGACGGACTGATTCTGAGCAGCGGGATTTGCATCACGTTTACTGCAGCACGTCTGAACAACTTAGTCAGGTTGTTCTACTGACAACACTATTCACAAATAATAAAGACTTGTGCGTAACAGGAGAAGATCTAAATAACAGTGTCCAACAGACAAAAGATTCATAAACGGACTTGTTAAATAACCAAAACAGACCCAGAACCCAATGAAAACATCCTTATATGGTATCCGATACTTTTATGATCTATAGAGGTTGCATCTGTATTTATGATCTTGTATGGGAGGTTAATTGAACTACACTAGGTAAGTTAATTTCTCTAATAGGATCAATAAAACACATTAAACTGAAACCAGTCCTCCAAACTACTGACTGTGGAGTAACCTCAAGAAGAGCCTGAGACGCTGACACACAAGACTCAGCAGTCGCCATTGATCCCTGGGCTAATTTCAACCTACCTTATTAATTAATGCCATTCAGCCAGTCTCAAGAGACGCATAACGAGAATACATCTAAAGGAAGGACTTTAACGCTACTGCTAAAGTAGAGGTGCTCAAATCTGCTCCACAGCTGCCTACTGAGGGCTCTCGAGAAGGTCTTACTGTAGGCTTCCCACAACTTCTGACCCATTAATTTCCCACACATTTGTGAATGTGATTAACATCAGTGTTGTTATTGTTAAAGGGTTAGTTCACCCCAAAATGAAAATTCTGTCATTAATTTCCCTCCCTCATGTCGTTCCAAACCCGTAAGACCTTCGTTCATCTTCAGAACACAAATTAAGATATTTATAGCTCGCGCATGAACATAATCTGCGTAATCAGTGTTGTTTATGCTTAGGGGAAAGCGTGCGTATGCGTTGTGATACTCTCTAAAATGGTGGAAGACGTAACTCGGAGGAGAAGAATTGTTGAAAAAATTATGTTATTTTTGTTTTCTTTGCGCTCAAAAAGTATTCTCGTAGCTTCGCAAAACTGAAGTTGAGCGACTGATGTCACATGGACTGTTTTACTGATGTCCTTACTACGTTTCTGGACCTGGGAACATTACAGTTGTGTTGCTCTCTATGCAGGGTTCGAGAGCTCTCACATTTCATCAAAAATATCTTAATTCGTGTTCCGAAGATGAACGAAGGTCTAACGGGTTTGGAACGACATGAGGGTGAGTAATTAATGACAGAATTTTCATTTTTGGGTGAACTATCCCTTTAAACAAAACTGAAAGTAAAATTAAAATTTTTAAAAATAATTTTCAGTAACTGAAATATAATAAAATACAAATATTAGATGAAAAACTTTGCAACTAACTGAACTAAAATAAGTTTAATTTGAAGTACTAAAAAGGCTAAAATTAAAATGTAAAAATAAAAACTAAATAGAAACATTAAAAAACCTAAAACTAATAAAAATGACAAAATTGCTAAAACGTTACTTTAAAATTATTCAATTAAAATTAAAACTGAAAATATGAATATAAAAGCTAATTCAAAATATTAATAAATACTATAATATTGTACAAATAATACTAATATAACCCTGGTTTAATTAAAATCCTTTAAATTGATTAAAACATAAAAAAATGTGTAGAGATTTTACTCATTGATATCAATTTTTAGCTACTGGAATATTTTAGAACAATGCATTTAAAAAAAAAATAAAGTACAATTTTATTTTTTATGGAATTTTCCATTATAGACTTTAAAGATTTCATTTATTTCTGTGACTTTTCCAGGTCAGGAAATCGCAATTTAAAACTGTCTGATATTTCTAGGTTTTCAATTACCATGGGAAATACTGTGAGTTCAGAAATCGTAATTATGACATCATGTGAATTCAAGAGATTTTGCTCAGAATAAAAAAAACAAAACAAATACATGCATTGGGAAATTTCATATTTCTCTCGTTTTTACTTCCTAACAAAGCCAGAAGCATTTCAGCACTAGTGAAAAAAATAAATAAAAATTAATTATAAAACAACTAACATACAATAAAAAAAAACTCGGTTTTTAGCCCCAAACCGTGCATGGCTACATCTATATGTTTACACAATAGCGCAATGTCCACGCATCTTTAGAATACTTGGGTGACACTCATTCTATTCCTGCATACTACTTTGAAAAAAATAAATACAATAAAAATAGTGTGAATTAGAACGCAGCCCTGAAAACTACAGTAGGTGTGTTAGAGCAAGAAGACAGATCTCCAGGAGGAGCATAAAGAGCCCCTGCCATGATCCAAAACCCAAAAGTATCAATGAAATTAAATCCCCATGTAAGATATGTGAAGATTCCACTTGAAATGATGCTAAAACTAGATAAACACTGACCCGAGAGCAAACATTCATCTCTGACTTTGAGAGTTTCCTCTGACCTGCAGCTGCAGGAATGGGATGTTGAAGAAGCGATGGAGGTATTTGAGACCAAAGCCGTTTTTCATGGAGGACTCGGCATAGTGGATGTAGGAGGAGCCTGGAGGTCTAAAATGAGAAAGGATTATGGGATTAAGGAAAAGTTGACTGATAAGTGACAGACATACATTATTCATAAGAGCTTTGCATGGTATATCTGGAGTCGTTTTAACTGGGTAAAAAAATAAAAATAAAAGGTTCAGTAACAGGTTTTTTTTGTGTAGGTTATTCATAAAAGACAGATCTTCCCAGTATTTATTGAAACGCTTGTTATTTCCCTTGCTTGATTCATCAGCATAAACTGCTGAATTGTTTCACACGGGCAAAAATATTTCATTTTTCAAGGTCAGATAATCTAGAAGGAAAAACTTTTAAAGTAAAGTGTGCAATTTTAATTTGTAAAAATGCTTTCCCATTTGTAGACTGGCTTACTGAAAAACGTTAACACAAACAAAAACTCTGATACTTTTTTAGCCATCTGACATACAAACTTCTGGCTCCACGAGTTTGAGGCAAGACTACCTGTTTGAAACTCAAAGTCTTCACAACAACCCATCAAAATAAAAGTTTAACTTGAAGAAACTGTGACAGAAATACATTACTACTGTACAGTAAATGTACTTCTCAAAGTAATAATATTAAAGGGGTCATATGATGCGATTTCAAGTTTTCCTTTCTCTTTGGAGTGTTACAAGCTCTTGGTGCATAAAGAAGATCTGTAAAGTTGCAAAGACTAAAGTCTCAAATCCAAAGAGATATTCTTTATAAAAGTTAAGAGTCAGCCACACCTACCTAAAACGGCTCGTTCTAACACACCCCCACATATC